GATGTAGCGTTGTGTGTGGGGGGGGGGGGGGGGTTGTAGTTCACGGTGTTCAGTTTCAGAGCTTCGGTCTTTGGGTTTTGAGTTCCGGCTGTGAGGGTTTGCCGCTTCGGGGCTTGCACGGTTGCGCAGATAAGGCCCCAAAGCAACCCCAAGCCCTGGTCCGAAGAAGCATAGCCCCTTGTTGCGAGCTCTCAGATCCCTCTTTGTGGCACCCGCGGGATGGGGTTTCGGTCTTGGTTCGTTTGAGGCTTCGGCCGCTGTCAGGTTGCTTCCGGGATCGTAACTAGGAGTGAGCTTTCATGGGAACCTCAGAAATGCTGCCTTTCTCAAAGCCCAATCCCGAAAATGCCGGGTCGAGGATCCCGGACCAGAACATGACGCAGTCTTGCTCAAACTACGTGTCGCGGCATGAACTTGAGCTGAGGCTCCAGTCTGTCGTAGTCGCAACCTGAAACGCTGAATCAAGGTTCGCTAGGACATGAGTGCGTTGGGTCCGAGGGGATGTGGGTATTGAGTCCAAGATCAATCAACATTGGCCCTCCTCTGTGGCGTAGGCTAAGGGCTCTCACATGTGCCTTTTGGCGGGGCCCCGCTTCAAGCCTGAAGCTCTAAGTCCCCAAACCCGTGAGTCAGATAGGCAGCTTGTGGGCTCATGGAGAGCTGAAGGCACTAAGCATCGGATAAACTTGTCTAGCAATTTGCAGTTTTTTGGTCTTCGATGGTTGTCCTTTATGCTGCAGGCCTCGGAACTCGCGGTCTCAACTTGAAGCCCTGAAGCCCTCAGCCGTTTTGGTGCTTGGACTCAGACTCTAAAAGGCGTTTGCTAGGCCAATGAAGCGGCAGGAGGGAAAGAGGCTCAGGCTTGACTTGCGCAGTTCCTTAACAATTGCCGATATGCGTAGAACAGGGCTGGATGCACGGGGCAGAGCTAACTCGACGCCAACTCAGACCATCAGCAGCATTCCCGCTGTTTGCAACATGTTTTAGTTTCTTCCCCGCAGTCGCTCAGGTGGACGATGGGACCACGGTTTTCAGCGAAGATGGCAAGCTCGTCCTGAAAGTGGCCTCGGCCTGCGCCGATGGGCGCTGCCTCAATTCCGGTCGGGGTCTCAGGGCAAAGCTCTCCTCGGCAATGATAATCATGGAGTTCATCTGTGATGATCTTTCGAGCCGGAAGTCGCACTAGCTTGAGGCTTGCGTCTTGAAGGCGCAGGGGTTGAATCCTATAGCCTATACGAGCCTATATCCCTATCCAGAGTCCATCTGACTTCCACTCCCCTGACCTTCTAACCAGGCCGGCGTGCAGGATGGCTTAAGAAAAGAAGCTTACACTCAGGGCCTCTGGGTTCGTATTCGGGGTCGGTGTCGCTTGCACGTGCAGGGAACGGACTGATGGCACGACGCTTGCTTGTGTCCTTCATGTTGCACGTCTGGCATCCGACGACATGGGGCCAACCAGGGGCTGGAGAAGCTGGCTGTGAAACAGCAGCCCGTGTTGAGTCATGTTTCTACAGACATCTCAAGAAGGACTGTCCTCACTCATTGCAGAACTTTGGAATAGGCTTCCACCACACTCTAGGAGAGCGGACGGCGGCGACAGCTACATTCAGACCCCAGCGTGCCGGTTCGAGCGGTTTTCCTTCGTCGCCGTGTAAGCAAATTAAGACATTCTATGTCTGGGACGGTTCTCTCCTGGGAAAACCAAAAAACATCAGCAGCTCAGCCGCAGAGCTTGCGATCCTTCCGTTCCCGACAGTTCTGCGAATGATGCGACTTGCCTTAAGCCACCAAAAGTCCTGGTAACACTGGCTTTTGAGCCTCATTCGGATCTGTGTCCAGCAACTTGAAGTCCTGAAAGCATTCAGGCCGAAACCTCCCTTACTGACTGAATCCCAGTGCCCTAGACTCAAGAAGTTTTTCAGCCTTGAACGGCAAGCCGGCGTCAGCCCCAATCGCGAGCCAGCCGGCAACTATCCGCCAAGCGAATGCCCTGGGACCGCGCCAGGTCGCGTCATGAGCAAAGATGCCTTCACCTATGGCAGCTTGGACTTCAAGTAATCATCTTGCGACTAGCAGTGGTGCTCCCAGTGCAAGTAGACGTAGCAGTAGCAGCACTGCTGTAACAGTTCGTGAGTAGTTCGCCTAGACTGTCTAGGAAGTATTAAGATGAGTGGTAAGTAGTAGTAAGAGGAAGGTTGGAATACAGACCAGCATTGAAGTCAAAGCATGAGGAGATGGGGGCTTGCTGTTTTGGATTCGTAGAGCCCTAAATACACGCCATTGCTACGACTGTACCTCAAGGCTGAGGCATGTAGCCGGCCTTGCGTTTCTGGATGCTGCAAGGCTGCAGGGATAATTCACGCAGCTGTGTTGTCGATGCCTGAAACCTCTTGTACGTATGTATATACATATGTATAAGTTTATGTACGACTATCTGAGTATAACACACATGTGTGTACACGTACATGTGTATACACAGCAAACATACGTTTACACTTGTATAGCGGGAACAAACACTGTGACGTTGGGTCATGGCTGAAAGCCCAAACTATGCCGAAGAGCAAGTCCAGAGTCAAATGTGTGAGGCAAAAGGCCCAGTGCCCAAACTGAAGCATTCTGGGGTGGTAGTGGGTTTAGGAGTCTGCAGCGATTGCATTCAGGCAGAGGGGATTGTGTAAAGTCGTCGTGTCCTTCAAACACAGAAACCCTGCAAACAACCTAAGTCGCCAAAGGCATCTTCACCTTCTCCGCAAAAGTTCCGAAATGCCACAGTGTGTGGCCTGCCTTGCGACTTGGCTGGTCCGCAGCGAAGGCGAACACATTGCAGCACCCTAAATCCCCATGTTTAAATTCCAACAGTGAGCAACTTGCTAGAAGAAGAGTGTGGGCAGGAAGCGTAGACGAAACCACTTCTTCCAACTCCACCGAGGTGGCTGCTGCCAGGCAGCTCGAAAGGCCAGCTTTTGCAGGGTTCAGGGCCGTTTGGGTTAAGGCTAAGGTCGGTGGGCATCGTGTTTTTTGAGGGGTCAAATTGGGCTGTCAGCTGCTGTGGTTGCACATCTGTCCTCATGATTGCAGCGCCACTTTAAAGGCTGCAGTTGTTGGGATCAAAATTCCGGCATTGCTGGGCTAGGGTCGTTCTGGGTCGTTGCCTTGAAACCAGCATAGTTTTCGGAAAGTTTGGCAGTGTGCTTGAAAAATCGACGACAAGGGATGCGATGGCTGATCGTTCATACAAGAGTACGAGGTCTGGGTTTCTCTGCCGCCCGACGAAGTCTGGAGAAGCTCATCGCATTATCATATTATAATATAGGGTCCCTAACAATTAGAATAGGGTTTTGGGGTATATGATACTATAATAATAACAATAAGGAACGCGCAAAATACTATAGGGAATTTTTAGGCTTTTGTATTTACTGCCTTGATATACCCAGGCAACCACGATCCTGCTTGTGTACAGAACTGGGCGAATTTCGCAATGCAATGCCTCAGCGCTCAATTTCACCTCCCAGCCCTGGAGTGCTCGAAACCGCACTGGTGTTTTCAAGAATTCGGGCTCCCTTCCCCCATTGTAGCACGTATTCTATCGATTTTTGTTGGAATCGTATTCTATCGATTTTTATGGAATCAGGGCGCTCAAAGCTACTATAATCTGGGTTCTTGTTAAGGGATTTAATTTAAGTTACCATAATAAGGAAGCCATATTATTTACTATAGATCCCTATTATGGTAACTTAAATTAAATCCCTTAACAAGAACCCAGTAACAGTTTGGAAGAAGTGCCAGGTGATGGCCGATATGGACCCTGGCCATGCAGCGGAGAGATCGACGTCCTGGTGCTTTGCTGCAGTCTCGGGGCGTTTTTACAGGAAGTAATAACCTAAACCCTAAACCCTAAACCCTAAACCCTAAGCAGGTTTTCGAGCCACATGCTTATGCTTAGTGACGACGACCCACATCTCTGGAACATGGAAATCTCGAAAGTGCAGGGTTTAGGGTTAGGGGGTTGGGATGTGGGGTTTAGGGAGCAGGAAACTCTAATACAAGTTACGCGTCACGGTTGCCACATGTAGCATTCACGTGTAACTTTGCCCACGGCCCAACGTCGAAGCAAAACGGAGCTTTGGCAGGAGACTGTGAATGGTGATCCCCACGGTGCCTTCAACTTGGTCCCTTGCTTACTTTACAGGGGGGTACTTCCAGGGTTTGGGATGTTTAGTGCTTTTAAGATTCAGGGCAATGGTCTGAGTCTGAGGCTGCTGAGGTGCCTTCGGGTTCCTGCGTTCACATTCGGGACATGACCGCAGGGTTCACGATGCCAGCCTGGACTCCAACTAGACCCTAGCTCGAGCTTTGGACCTGAAGCACCAAATTCTAACACGCTAAGCTCGAACACGTTTCAGATCATGAAAGTTTGCTTGGGACTTGATTCGGTGGCGGCTGTCTAGGATTTTTGAAGCAGTCCTACGACAAGTATTGCAGTTCTTGCTCCCCAGCGATATACCTGAAGGCTCTGGCCGTACTTTCTTGCTTGTTTTGTTTCGGGGCTTGGTTCAGGAGCAATCTCAAACAATTTGTGCTCGCATACTTCTTGACTCCCCTGTCCGGCCAGCGGCCATTGCTGCATGCTTTGCAGCTTATGATTGCTGCTCAGTGCCGACTGCGATGCTGCATGATGTGGGTGTGGTGACAATGATGATGAAGATGACGATGATGATGATGATGATACTCTGCTGCCCGAGGAAAGACACAGGCAGTAGTAGAATCCGCTACTGTTGTTATGGTTGTCGCCGTCGTGGTCATCGTAGTCGTCGTGAAAATTCTTTGTGTGGTGTAACAAGCATAAGAATAAAGAACGACAGTTGTGAATCTTAAAATACGGGCAGAAGAACGGCGATATGAATATCATAATAAGAAGTGGTTGCGGAAGCTCGTTCATGTCGCCACTTTTATGGGCATCGGCAGGCTGAGTAATGTTTGTTTGCGTTGTTTAGCTGCCCTTTGGTGGCTGTCGTTTCACACGGCCACTTGACGGCAGTACATACTGTGTCGGCCACTTAAAGGCAGTATGTACTGTTACACGCACATACATACATCCATCTTACATACATGCATACTTACATACATACATATGTAAAACCTGCATGCCTGCCTGACCGCCTGTTTGAACGCGTACATACATGGAGAATCCATGAATGAATGAATGATGCATTAATGTTTTTCCTGTTAAGTTTTATTCAGTTTCAATATAACTCTCTACAGTGGCGAAACTGAAAGTTACGTGTGATGGCTTTTAGTTATGTAACACCATATATGGTTATAGTCATAGTTGGTTATATATTATGGATGGTCGTTTTGTATGGCTTTTCATGGTCATATGCTTTTTACACATATTTCCAAATGACATGAAGAAATGTATGAAGGAGGAGAAGGCTATGCCAAATCAAATACTGATATATACATATATATATATACACATATCTTTATGTATGACCATCTATGTTATGAAGTTTCACATTTTAGATATGCTTACATTTGCGTGTGTACTAATATTCTTATACTGTGTTGGGTGTACGCTCGCACATACTAGTATATAAGCATACATAGCCATTTATCAGCATACATGGCTGTAAATAGCCATTAGACTTATATCAAACTGTACGCGCCTGTACAAGTAGTTCAAGTATGTGCATATTTGAGTTAAGATTTGTATATCGAGTTTATGAGTAGTAGAACATACTTTGTTAAACGGTAACGCTCAACATGTAAGTCGAGTGTATAAGGACTACAGTAATCCGTAGGTATGATGTACAACTTTCTTATCTGTACATGCATATTTACAGAAATCTCTCTCTCTCTCTCTCTCTCTTCCTCTCTCTAAGTGTATCTAGCAGCATATAGTTGTACGAAATGACAGTTCATGGATATGTTCTATAGTCACACTATGTGGCTTCCTGTATACATGTATATGTATACACACATCTGTTTATACATCTTTTTATAGTTGTGATCTATGACTTGGCATATGCTTACAGCAAACAGGCGGCATACACACAATCATACATGTAAATACATGTACATATGTATATATCTATACACATGTGTGTGTTTATGTGGTATAAAAGCTTTGCCATATTTTTGTGGTATACACATGTACTGCATCCATACATTACCTTATAAAAGTGTTGTACATGCAGCGTATACCGTCACATTACAGCCATCATGGCAAAATGTCGACACACACACGCACCCACAGCAACAGTTTCCGCATAGACATACATATATATATATATATATATGTATAGCCAGGTATAGATAGATACATGGACAAATAGGTAGATAAATGCATTAGTCTGTTCATCTTAGTGTTCGCATATTCTGGGGCACTTGTAGTCAGCACTGATCGTGTTCACCGTCGGCGGTGTCTTTGCTAGAAGAAAGACGGCCTGCAGCAGGTCGCAGGCTTCGGGAGCACCACCGGCAGCTGCTTCGACCCCTCTGCTGTGTCCTGCAACGCCTGTGCGCTTCTGGGCCGGGAAGAGGAAATGCAGAGTTAAGGTCACACGGGGGTCTCGAGTTGGGGGCTGAGGCTTCACCTCTTCTTGGGCTTGCGGCTGTGAGCCCTAACACCCGAGCTATTTCAGCGCAGACACTTCGAAGTCATGCAAGACATGAAGCCGACAAACCTGCACCAGAACCCCAACCCACCCCCTAAAAGCCAGCCCCCTGTAAAGGCCCAAGCCTGAATCCTCCGACCCGAAGAGCCGTGGAAATCTGAACAGTCTAACCCGAACTCCGCGGAAAGCACTGGTCTGAAGTTCGAAGCCATAGAATTCAGGCGTGCAATATATCTGGTCTGTGCAGCATACAGTTGCCGGTCTTGTGTGTTATCTATGGCATTGCACTTTTTTGGAGTAGAGCTTCGTGGTTCGAGGCAGAATACAATGCAGAGGCAGCAGGTTTTGCTTTTCAGGAAGATATGACACTGGCTGGTTTGAGGCGCAAGGCGCAGTGGTCTCTACAGACGAAGCCCGCAAATCTGTCCAACTGCGCCTGAAACCGTAAGCGCGAAACAGCTGATCATCAGCAGTTTTGAGGCCACCGCAGTACTGCACCAGCACAACCCTTGCGGATGCCGCAGCTTCTCATTACTTTGTGGAGGACGACCTGCATCAATATTATTGAAGCTATCTCTCATTCCGATATCCAGAAAGCCCAAACGCTGAGTGTTGTTCCTTTCGGGGGAGTTCGTGATCTTGGTGATTCGCTTCCATGCCTGGTAGCTTGGGCTCTGTTACCAACGTCTCCTTTGGGCTTTGGGAGCTTGCACTTCGAAGGGGTGGGAGCTTGGCTTCCTTCAGTAGTGCTCAATGCTGAATGTTTAGGGTTTGGGCTTTACTTGACACCGGCAAAGTTGCTTATATGCCAGTTGAAGATGTCTTGATTGCAAGGGCAGTCATTATGCCTTTTATTTTCGAAGGGGGGGTTCTGTGCAGGATGCTTGTGAGCTTGCTGATTCATGAACATACTAGATCACTAGAAGCGGTATTCAAACAATGATCATCCGACCCGTTCTCAAATCCCGGAGATGATTCACAAGCCTAAAAGCGGCACGTTTGTTGCTTTATTTTCGTGCGTCAATCTTTTTTTGCAGTAAGCTCCAGAACCCTTCAATCCGAAAAGCTAGACCATGCACTACCACGATGGGTCGTAGGTGGATGTGTATATTGGTTTTTGAAAGGGTCGAGACGTCTTTCGCGTTTCTTTTGCAGGATGTAAACTGCGATGCCAGTCAAGACTCGTGGCGGGAACACCTATTTGCAGCACGGCACAAATGGTGTCTGAAGGGTATTATTCTGGGCTCCTTACTATAATTATAGTATAGTATGCCCATTCTAATTGTTAAGGCCCCTACATTACCCATGAACCTCAGCGCAAGACTGTAGGTGAGTCTGAAGAGTATGCCGTGCTGTTATGGTTTTGGGTTGTTTAGGGTTTAGGGTTTAGGGTTTCACTACCAACGCCCCCTCTTCGAATTTCTTGGGGGCAGTTTGGCTTCTGAGCCGAGCCCTCCTGACTGAGGTCCTCTACTGGCAGCCGGAGGTTATTGCCGCGTTTCCCGGAGTTGATCGGAAGATTTTCTTCCCCTTCGGATCCAACCGGAGTTCTACAGGGTTTGGGTCCTACCATTTGGTAAACATAATACGGGGTGGAAAGCCTTATCATACTAAACTACGAGGTTTTCATGCTCCACAGGTGCGAACGAGACTCTCCAAGCGGGGGTGCTAAGTCCAAAGTCTCAATATTTTACCGGTGTTGGGGTTCTCATGTCCATCCAAAGCCTCAGGCCTCCCACCCGAGACCTTCGCCCAAACCAGGTTTGTAGATCCGGAGCTGACCTACGATGCTAGTGGGCACCTCACCGGGATTCAGGCCCGGGGGTCTTTGAGATCGCGAAGAGACGAGGGCTTAATGTATAGAATCGTATAGAAACCCGACTAGTTGAACCAGGGGTTTTGGAAGGTTTGGTTTAGTGTTGTGGTTGTTTACGCACGAACACAGAAAATTTATGTTAGGGAGCCCATTCAGGCTTGTTTATTGCAGTTGTTTCTGGGAAAGATTCCAAAAACGCTCTACCCTAAACCTTCACCTGAAGCGCAGAAGCCCAAACCAAACTACTGCAGCCCTAGAATTTACATGGTTTGCCTGAATCCCTAATCAGTCAGCAGGGAGTCAAGGCATTTCAAAGCCTGAGACTTAACTTAAGCTCGAAGGATGTAAAGAGAAGGGTTTTAGGGTGCTCGAAGTCTTTGGGATGCCCCGAGCACTGGCAGGCCAAGAGCAGTTTTCACCTGACCTAACTTCCTAGCATCTATAGGAGCTCAAGAACACTATTAGCCCTGAAGTCAGGAAACGGGAGCCATCTGCCTTTGGGCCTTAGGGCAGTGTTGGGATGGAGTGTAGGAGATGAGGGTAGGCAGGGGTGTAGGGTGTAGTGTTTCGGACCCTGGTGTTGTGGAGTTCGTTTTTGTACGCACATGCAAGTTTGGGATCCAAGTGACTTCCGAGTTTCATCACATCCTCACTGATGCAGGCCAAGAAGCACTCGAACGGCCAAGCATCCTACAAAGTCTATCATCGTTTCTTGGTCGCATCTGCCTTCGGGGTTTCAGGACTTCGTCCCCACGTCAGAGCCACCTCTACTCAGTCCGCTGTCTTAGTCTTAGTCTTGGTATGGCTTGAGGGTGCATCTAAGCCCTGAATCCTTTGCCTTTCAGCTTCCAGGCTTCGGAACCGGACGGTGAGAGTTTGTGGATGGTAGGCTCCTGTGTGCTCAAGCCAGACTCCTGAAACTCAAAGTAAGCCGCAGGAGTAAAGGCTTCTGATCTAGAGGTTTAGGCTTCAGAGTTGAGGTTTTAGCTTACCCCTGAACTTAAACTCAGCTCCAAGCCCCCTGCCCAGTGCTCGCGAGGCTGGCATGCTTGGCCCTTTTTAGCCGAACCCTTGTAAACACCCTTATAGGAGCCCTTGTCGTACGTTTATAGTAGCCCTGTAGTAGCCTCACAGTACACTGTTTTATCCACAACCCGACACCTGGATAGCAACGATTCAGGATTGCGGCCCGGCAGTCTTTTACAGGGAGGGCGGGGTAGCTTTCGGAGCTCTGGAGTGTGTAGGGGTTACGAATCAAGAGGTTCCAGGAGCCAGACCTATCGTGTTGGTCCGCAACCCTCATCTCTCAACATCTAGACCTTTCCATGCTTGTTGGTCGGCGTGTTGGCAATGCTGGCAGGTGGTGAGGTTTAGCCTTCAACCCCAAGTAGGACTCGGGGGCAGGGGTCACATATGTATAGTGTCGTATTCCGGTCCCCATCCCCGATCCAGGCCACCTTGACAGGGGCTTGTACGGAAGCGTTCTTAGCCTCGAGTGTCACGTTGAGTGTCACGACACCGAGAAATCTGCCAGGTAGCACGACGCCGACATGGTCCGCAGTGCAGGCCTTGCTGGGTGAGTCCGACACCTCAGCCCCAAGTTCGAAGTTCCACAATCTTCCTAAAGCCCAGAATCCGATATCTGCACCCCAGGCAAAATGCCCGGTTTGTAGGGTTTGGCAGGTTTGGCTCCGACTCCTAGATGGTAACAGCCAGAAAGGACTACATGGGGAAGTGTTTCCCTGGCCGTCATTCTGCGGATGCGCCGTTTGACATTCCCATGCCGCTCGGCCCCTTCTGGAGGTCTCCGGTCATATGTTCGGGTTTAGGGTTTAGGGTTTAGGGTGTCTACCGTTCTGGAGCATTGAAAGCTGAGCAGTTTCTATCAGATTTGATTCCAAGAGCTCTGGGAAGTCAAATCTTCCATTGGTACTCCGGTCCTGTGGGTTCCGCAGTTTGAGGTGTTGCAGTTCTCCAGGGCCTTATACGCTTTACGCAAATCCGCGCAGTGTAACCGCGTTTGAAAGCCCAGATACTCCTCAGACCCTCAGCTTCCAGACCCCCACAAACTCCTGTCTGACCTGTCCCTGACTGCGGAAAACATGAATCTCTGAAGCATTACGACCCCAAGTCCCCAAATCTGTAGTGCCGAAACGACTTCCGAAGCTCCTACGTTCCAAAGCTCCTGTAACCCTAAACCCTAAACCCTAAACCCTAAACCCCTCCTAAATCCTGATTTCCGGAAGACAGGCTCGAAGTACTTACTGCCTACGTGCCCCGCCTTGCTTAGGAAGATTGTGCTCAACATTGCAGTGGGTGGCTATGGTGGTGCTCCGTGCTTCTGGGGCGTGGATGCCTGTCAGGCCGCATTCATACCCTACATAGATCATAGATCTCTTGGTGCATTTACCATCTGGGGTGTGGCTTGGCTGTTGGGCTGAGCTTCAAGTTAAGGGTCACATTTAGTGAGCTAAAGTTCGCCAAGCTTCTGATTCAGACCCCCTGACACATTTGGACAGAAGCCCAAAATCGGGACCGACACGAAGAGGTCTCAAAGATCTAAAGCCTTGCATTGGAAATCTTGGGTTTCTCAACATGCTCATGGAAAGCCTCCAACCCCTTCCAGGAGATCGCCGTCCTCGACATAGCAGTGGAAACAAGCGAAGTAAAGTTGAAGTCTGAAATCACCCCAGGTCCTAGTCCTAAGCCCGAAAGCAGAACAGGAAGTCCCAAACCGCAAACCTTGTGAACATCCCGCTGCTTTTGAGCGGCAGGCTCAGTGTGGTGGCGCCATCGGCTCTAAACTCATCCTCTCGGACATCAGCGTTTGGCAGTAGAGGCAGCTGGCTGCAGCAGAGCACGTCGGGTTTAGTTCAGGTTCGGTTGCTGAAAGCGTTTCGAACTTTGGGGAAGTGGGCCAGGGCTGTCGCATGCAAGGCGCAGGTCAGGGTTTGTAATGCAAGCTTCAGGCTGCGGCGTTCGGCTTACGTGATCCACGCATGTTGACATGCCGGCTGAGGGAGCCAGGCTTGTTCTCTATTTGTTGTGGGCAAATCGTCGTCTCAAGGCTTTGTCAATGCATTCGCCATCATCCGAAGGCCCGAATCTGCAACTCGTATCTTCATCTCAGTTTCCGACATCGCAGTATCGAGGCCTCTTCAACAGCTAGGGGTTTCGTACAGAAGGTTTCATCATCGCTTAGGGCTCCGTGGTTTCAGGTGTTGAACACAGGGGTTTGGCAGTGCAAAGTGTAATGTGCAGGGCAACCTGATGAGGTGGGCCTCAATGTTTGCTGGACCGTGATGTGCATACTACCATAAAACACCGTCATCCTTAAAACGCCCAAACCCCAGAAAGCCAGCAGCCATTGATCGCTAGAACTGAGTTTTCGGACAACCTGTAAAGCCAAGTGTCGCAGAAAGCACTGTGCCACAGGCAGCAGCCACAACGTCGGAACTTTAGTTTCACCGATGGCTGAAAAGGCTTACTCCCTAGCGCCTCGAACCCGGTGGCCTCTGAGAAGCCTCAAGCCTTCACTCCTAAACATCGAAGCCTTGAGGGGTTAAGGCCGTACAGTTTGTCGCTGTCATGTCGTTGCTGTTGCCATCCTGGTTGTGATGGCCGTTGTGATTGTGGTTGCGGTTCTGGTTGTGCACCTAAGGTTTAGATTGAGGGTGTAGGACATGTGAATCCCAACAATCAACTCAAGTTGCCTTGGTATATGGCCTGTCTCACAGGGTGCTAGATAGCCAACAAACTGGCCGCAAAGTGGTTCGTGGCCGTGATGTGTATATAGTGCATGTAGCTTTGCGTCAGCTCCATTGAGAAAAAAGAGTTGCGACAATAAGCACCGATGTCGAAAACACGCGCACACTCTCTCACACTGTCTCTCTTACCGACTCTGTTTCTATGGACTCTTGAAAGTACGTTCGACTTCCACAGGACGTTCTAAAGCGGCAGCCGAGCTTGCTTGCAGCCAACCATTACATGCGAGCTTTTCTGTTTTTGCCTCATCAGACGGGTCGTGCAGCGTGGCGTAGCTGGATTTGAGTGCGATGCCTGGTAATGTCAGCTGCACACTTCGGAATGGGACTGGCAATCCCTGCTGTGTCCGTGTGATCGGATCAGGTAGCACAGAAGCATCAGAGGAACATACCCTGATCGCCGATGGCGAGGTTTCTTGCAATTTGGATGCTGCCACTCTTTCACACATTGCAGCCTGGTACACATCGCAGCCACCTCCAAATACTCATATCTTTCCAGCTGGCGCAAGCTCTGCGGTTGTTGAGCTGACCGCTTCATTGACATCAAATGCTAGCGTTGGGACAGCTGGAACGGATGAGAAGCAAAAGCTAACATTTGTGAACCAGTGCTCCGTGGATGTTTGGTTCCGCTTGTTTTTCAATGATGACCACAAGGACCGTCTTGTCTTCGCCGGTGGTTCCGAAACCTATGAACTTGAAGAGGAGCATGTGACTTCTTTTGGCGCAAAGTTCCAATATCCTCCGAAGAACGGAGTGTCGGACTATCGATGGAATCCGGCGCATGAAGCCAAAGTTGTGGGTAAAGAGGTGACCATCACGTTCCAGCCCACTGTCGCCTTCAACATGACAGAGTTCAAGATGGGGCAGACTAAACTGGTGCAAGATCTCTTCCATAAGTATGATACTAGGCGATAAATTTGGCTCTGCATCTACGAGTAGAAATCCGTACCCTAAGCAAGCAATGCGTCTCCGCCTAAGGGAATTGTGGGTTGCTGATTAGCGAAAACTGGGTTGTGCAACAAACTGCGCATGCTTCGAGCGTGCACAATCTAGTGCAAGGGCGAACACAAGCTTTACCTAAGGTCAGACCTGAGTACTGGTCGACATGACAAACCCGCGCTCGCGCACGAAGGGACCCGTAAGGCGAAGCCGTGGGGGGTGTCAAGATGCAGGCATGGAGCAGTACATTGAATAGCGCGCGAAATACATTACTAGCAGTTGCGGTGTCAGGCAGCCCGGATGTATGTTGCTGGTGGTGAAACTCCTTCATCATGGCAGGTTAGTACCGAGGTCGGAGCAGCCTTCATGATCGACCTTGTTTCTTTAAACGACAACTTAGCGGCCAGTGAAGGGTGCGAGGGGTGCGGTCAACGGCATGCGTGCCCAAGCCCGAAACCCCATCTGGTGATTGACTTCCATAACTCTGGTGGCTTGGCCGCTAAGCCTTATTTAGAGCCGAAGTCCCGAGGACAAATCTGGCGACGGCATCCTCTCAGAAGAGGAGATGCTGGGGATTTTCGAGGCTCTGTCGGTTCCAAAGACCGAGGTGCAAGCGCTGCTCAGCAGTCCACGAAGTACAATGTTTGGTGTTTACTCGGCTGAGCAAGTTCTGGTACAGGTTCAAACTCAAGATTTTTGATTTAGCAGCAAGCTGAACAAGTAAGGCTGTTTCAGCAAGCAGACGCCAATCGGGACGGCAAAATCCAAGTACAGGAGTTCATATCTTGGCGGCTTGGCAAAGTTACTTGCGATTGCAGCAGGATCCTTGCCCTCCGTGCAGTTTAGAGGCTCTGAGTTAAAACCCTAAGCCTCTAACTCAATGTTGAGTTTTTTTGGCCGCCAGGCAGTTTGTTTTTTTGGCAGATTGAATGGGGCTCTGTGCTCTTTGCCTCGTCTCGTTTACCTGACCGTCAATTCCTATATGTGGGAATTTCTTTATGGTTGGGTCAGGGTCCTTGGATATCAGGGGAAGTGTAGTTGTGCGTCGCGATCGTCCTGCAAAAGCTTGATTGCCAGTCAAGGCTCATGACGGAGCCTGCGACACCCAAGGGCGACTCAGGGTGATGTAGCTTCCTTTGACAGAGACGCCAAACGCAAGTGATGCTCTAAAATGTTTCACAGCCTCTTGCAGTCCATTCTTCAGGCTGGAGTGGCGGTCGTGCCTGCAACAAGCGGCACGTAGCGCATACTGTGCTAACAGCTCAGCGCGCTGCAAGGGAAAAATCTTTGCCAGGAGCTGTTTGGCAAGAAAGGTCATGTTGTCACACTATCGGTCTCTGTGGGTTCGCATAGGCATGGCGATTATGGTTGCCACATGTGCAGGTGCTAGAGGTTACATGATGCGTGTTTCGTGGTGACATTTCGGCGCGGCATAGCATGACAAGCTGAGTGATGCTGAGGGCTCGTAATCTTTCCCCGCAGCTTTACGCCTTGTAAGCCTAAGCCCTAGATCTGCATGCCCACAAAGGGGTCTTCTGAAGGGTATCTCTACATCCCGCGCTTGCGAGTTCGGAACCCAGGACCGCGGCTTGAGAGTTGAGGGTTCGGGGTCGACTTGGGGGTGCTTGAGACAACCAAGGTGCAAGTTTGGGTCTTCGACGCATTTTGATTGCAGGTGCCGGGTAAGCCAAGCACCTTCAAGCCATGGACCTCAAGGTTCATCTGTCGTAGAGCAGCAGTAGCTAAAAGACCACAGAACGCCAGTCAACCTGCCAGTAACATCCCATGTGGGATTCCGGATCAACCTCGCCAGAAAACAACAGGAAAACCATGGAAAGCCCTACACCCCACCACATAGAACCCTTCCTTCCTGAAGCTGCCACCCTTCCTGCGAAAAAGGAGTCATGGCGGCACCAGCGGCACCGCCACCGGGTTGGATAACACCGTTTCTCGGATCGGTTCAGGGTCAAAGCTTTGGGGATGTGTGTTTGCGGATTCTGGCGGTAGGAGTTCAAGGTTTACAGGGTTCACTTCCGCTGGAGGAACTCGGCTTCGGGATTTAGGGACTAGTGTTCAGTAGCGTAGAGGATGTAGGATTTCGGATGCAGGGTTTCGGATCTGTCTGGCGTTAAGGATTTTGGGTTTCGAGTTCAGGAGGCTCACCTCGACCCGCGAGTAGCACTTGTCCTTGCCGTGAAACCCAAGTAAAGGGCATATGGGTCGTTGCTAGTAATTTAAGTGGCATTTTGGGAGTGTAGGTCTTCGGGGCTCTAAACCTTAGCCAGAAACCCAAGTCCTGCCCCGTAAGATCTACACCCCACATGCCTGAAGCTAAACCATGCACGATGCAGCCCAGGCTTACGGCGGCACAGATAGTGGAGCGCATGACGGAGGAATACGTGGTTCTGTGTATCCGCTTGAAGACCGGTTCGGGTTGAGAACGCCTCCGGAGTAAAGGTTATAGCTTGTACAGGCCGGAACCTTCATTACCACCAGATTATCGATGATTTCTCCTTCTGTATGCTTTTTCAGACCTTCATCCTCAGACTCTCAAAACTCCCTGCTGCACGAGCCACGAGGATCACCAGTATCTTCTTGCTGCGCATCTCAGTGGCAACTTATCATGTTTCGGTTCACGGGTTTGTGGTCCATGAACTACAGGCGATGTCAGGTACAGGGTTTGCAAGAGTTCGGTGCTTGGGATGCCAAGGTGCCATGTTCAGGTGCCGTGGGTTTTCCGAATCTTTCTTGTAACGGCGGGAGCTCCTGAACAAGAGGGTGCGGTTGCTGGGGGCAAGAACTCGTGCTACTCTTTCAGTTGCCAACGGTCGGGGATGTTGCAATTGGCGCCGTCGTCGCCTGAACGAAGGGTTTGATTTCCTGAGACGCGCAACTTGTGAAATAGGCCCATGGCCCTTTGTGTGTGTGTTTTTTTTGTTGAGGGGGGTCCTTCCGATTAAATACTAGGGGTACCTGTTCTTTCTTTCATCAGATGTTCTTTCTGTGTCAAGCGAATAAGTTTGTCGCGACAAAACCCTTGCTTCCCAATCAGAAGCCCCGAGCCCACTGTAAACCCGATTTCACTAACTTCTGTACCATCCTATCATATTCACCTGCTGCAGGGGCTAATTAAGATTTTCAGGAGGCCTTCTTGTACCTTGCATCGATGCCCGGGAGGCTCAGATCCAGAGTCCCAAAAACTAGGGGGTACCTGTCTTGGGGGTCGTCAAAATAAGAACAGAATCCTACTATTTCGTCTCGTTTTTGGAGTCCTTGTTTTTTCTGAAGTTGCCATATTTACAGGGACAGTAGATTTACTTTACAGAGACTCTTTGAAGGGTAAGGTATTTTCTGCTTGTGTACCAGGCTGTGTTACCAAGATCGGTTACCAAGAACATCTTATAGTGCAACTCCAACCGAAACAGGCCTCTCGTCTCTGAACTTGAAGGGTCCACAAATGTTACCGCTGTGGCATTAGATCCCAACAGTCGTTGCGGGGATGGTTTTCTGTGTCCAATCTCAGCTTCTGGGGCTTACATCCAACAGTTGAGAAATGTTGATCTTCTGGCTTTTCTGATTTACAGCTGATGCAGCGTTTCACTGGAAACTGTCCCACTCCAGCACTTGCTCCTGGGGGATGCAAGTTTTTATCAGACAGCCACCAGCTGCTGCTAGGCCAGTGGGCCAGCCTCACTGCGCGAATGGCACCGTTTGGGAGTGCCCATGGAGCCCCGGCGGTGAACAGCGCAAGGCAAAGAAGTAGCATCAGCAGGGTTGGCAGCAGCTTCAACAGTAGTGGCAAGTAGAGGAAGAAAAGGTCGGCGTCTAGCACAAGCATGAGCAGTAGCAGCAGGAGTAGAGTCGAGGCAGTGGTAGGAGGAGAATATGCTTAGTACTAGATAATAGTAGCAGCAGCAGCAGTAGGAGGAGGAGGAGGAGTAGTAGTAGTAGTGGCCCGAGCCTGAAGTCGACAGTCCTTATCGCACAACCGCAGAATCACAGACCAAGACAGATTAAATCCACAGTTTTAGGTTTGGTGAAGACATCTCAGGCTCCAGCGCCAACAGCAATGGCAGTGCGGGATGGAGGGAAGTGTTTCTTGGAGCGGTTCATCTTGTAGCTTAGCGGGATCCAGCAGGATGGTTGACGTGAGTACAGACCCCCCCCCCCCCGCCCCGCAACAGGACAATCGATTGCATGATGATCGTACAGGGTTTGGGCTTGGCAAGCCTTTTTAATGAGTTGACCTCTATCGCATATCCCATCCACGTTACATGCTTGCTTCCGAGCTTGCTAGCATTCTACGATCCTTTCGACTGCCTGCCGTCAGGGCCGTCATGAAATGAAGCCTGTGGGTTCAACCTCCGCAGCACATGCCCTCAATCAGGTGCGCCTGGTGGAGCGCTGTCAATGGGAACTGAACATCCCAGACTTCAGCGCTTGCAGCTTGCCCGTATATTCGATTACTGTTGCATGTCGAGGGGAACAGCCCAAAAACAGAGGCACACGACGACATCTTTGTGTATCACGTGGCTCTAGAGTCCTAGTTCGAACAAAAGATAACGGCCTCCTCCTCCATCTCGATCCGTCTGTTCACGATCGTACGAAGGTGATATCTGCGGTGGGGAGGCATCCTTCGCTGGACACTTAATCGGCAAGAAGCACCTCAACAAGCCTCTCGTCATGAAGCTTGGGGTTGGGATGTTGCATTCCCCCTATTCCGACACCCCGACGATTAAACCTTTTGTACATGTTACTGCATCCAGACCTGCAGGCGCGGCAGCATTTGAGGCTTGTGGAATCTAGGGTTCAAGCCAGAAAGTCCGGGACAGCTGGGAAGCATTAGCATAGTCACATAGTCGTACTGACCCCGCGAATTAACACTGACAGACTGACAGTCTCAGACGCCGTCTTGCTAGGCCTCGAATGTTCCAGCAAAGTGGCCCTGCAAAATCTGCAACGTCGCCCACGCTTGCGTTGCATGTCAGGCAGTGTGGGCACCACCGCGACCAGTGGTATGTGGCACTAGTGCCAAAAGTAACTATGCTGCTCAGCCCTAACCTACAACCCTACCTTAACACAGTGCAGTTGCTCAACAATCAATGAAAGAATTGGGTCAAGCTCCAAAGCTGAGTGCCAAACCGGAATGCAAGCATCGCAAGCATCAGCTCAAGAATCCTTTGAGGTGGGCTACAGTGTAAATGGCAGCGGTGGCTCACCCCAACCGCATGAACGTGCGACCCACCGTAAGCTCGCAGCCTGACCTGGGATATGTGCCCGAAGGCCCGAACTCCTCATAACCTCAGAGCAAGCCTTGATTCAGAGTTTTGAGCCCGAGCCCTTGGGTCAAGTCTTTAGACTATACATTGCTAGGCGCTGTAGGTTTTAAGTGTTAGGGGTCGGGTTCAATGAAATTTCGTCAGGCTTTTCCACAAGTTGTCTGAGAAGCAGCCAATTGTCCCGATCTCAGTGGATTTCATGATTTCTACCGGTGTGTATGCAATCCTTGCCTTACAAATCAAGCTGCAAGAGCTGATTATTGTGGCTAGCATATCTTTAAGCTTTGGAGTTGATGGCAGCCATTATGGATGTGATGAGCCTTTAGGCTTGGAGGGTCGAGGAGGTAGGGTTCGGAGTTGAGGCTTCGAAGATTCAGGCCTGAAGTGTCGGTTGAGGGGGCAACAGCTACTGGTTCGGGCAGCAGCGGCTCATCGGCGGAAGCTTGAAATTGCCTTCAGAACCTTGGCATTTCAGACTTTCAGACTCAGCGCAAGTTGGGCTTGAGCACGTCTATTTTTGGGGCTTTGGGGTTTTCCGGGTTTGTCGTGTAGTGCTCCACAGCCGGCAGGGTGTGGCTGGGCCCGTCGGTTTTGGGGATTCGGGTTTCATGTGCGACTATTTTCGCCATGGATTCTCTGCCACCCCACCGAAGACATGACATGACATGAACTGAGAGTCCGAATCCGCGCCAGTCAGTGCAAAGTGGCAGCTCAGTGGCACTGAAGTAACAAGAAGATGAGATATTTACACTCATCGAAGAAGCCAAGCCTACGGCTTCTTTCCTGTTCTGGGAAACCAAGAGGCCACATACATCGAAGACTTGCCACTTGACAGCATCAAATCAATGGAGCCCAACAAGCTCTGCCTTCAAGCACATGCAAACCTCGACACCGTAGGGCCCTGGCCTTCACCTGTCATCCAGCGGCTTTGGCCCAGGCGGAGCAGAAAGCGGGCTATTGGCAAGTCTGGCCATTCATTAAGAATGGCTGGAAGGGAGTCTTGGCCGCTGTTGTGATCGTTGTTGTATAGTCTTGAGATGTATGCAGCCAAAAACGTGCTTGTCAAAGGCTAGGAGGCTAGGGTTGACAACGAAGCAGCTGCCGAGGTTTCGAAGCTCATGCGAGGTTACAGAGGCAGTAGCACGAGCGAAAAGTGTTCTTGGATAATGTACTCAGCTACAAAACTCAACGTGTGTGGAAGTGTGGAGCGTCCTGTCTTTGACGAGCGCTTGACTCATGCGTGCGATTGCTTGCAATTCTCAGTCTTGGATGTGGCCTCTGGACTGGGATGCAAGGGGATCATTAAGCCTTACGATTGCATGGCACGAGGGTGATAACATCGAATCCGATTTCATAATGCCGAACGGCGGATGGAATCCTGAAAGGGAACCGTTCGCTATAGCAACTACAGCTTGAACAGCTTGGTTGAGAAACGTGTTGGGGCAGAATTTCGCAAGGAGAGCTCCTCTTCAACCACATCGACGGGGAGGTGGTCATCCGACGTGGCACGCCGGCCAATGGCCCTCCAATCCAACTGGCAACTACGGTAGGTTTGCCACCCGCGACTCCTCTGAGGCCTCCTAGGGCCGAACCGCCATATCGATCCCCAGAGCCGCCAACTCCGCCCGCTCCGTGGATTGGGTATCGACCACCCCGTGAAAGTGACAACCTGAGCACGGCTGCTGTCTTCGACGGCCATTTCTCAGACGCGGCTTCGGACGCGCCACCATCTTTAGGCTACCACTACTACAGCACCTTGGCTTTGTATGGCTTGCCCGTAGCATGAAACGACAGAGTGCGCGCCGAAAAAGGGCATCTCTTGCCATGGCGACCCTGGATCCGCTGTAACGCCGCTGTATTATTTTGGGGGTTCCTTATTATAATTATAGTATAACGGGCCCCAAAACCCTATTCTTATTTATTAAGGTATGTCCCCAAGAGCTGAAACGATGGCTCAGGCGAGACCGCACGGAGCAAGGCGCAGTTCTTGCAAAAGCAGCTGGAGCAATACGTCGACAGTGTCACCTGCAGCGTCTCACCTTACATTCACCACCTGGAAGCATACTGTTTGCATCATACTGCTGTTTGATACCCGGTGTCCGCTCATGTCCCAGGCGCGTGCAATATCAAGATCAAAGTCAACGAGTTCAAGGATCACTTGGTTTCCAGAATCTTGACCCCGTTTCAGCACACTTCCAGAAACTAGAGCCTGAGGATTCGGGGCTTTCCGCTTTGGGGTCTGCGTAAACCCCAGCATGCTGCAATGATCAGGTGCCTTATCCGAGCACCAGCACCCCAGAACCAAGAAACATGAGGCATGAGGATTCATCAGTCGATCGTTTACTGCAGCCTGTTGCCGAAGGGCCAGCTCAAGCCCTTCGGAGATAATGAAGAGTCCCCAAGCGAGCAACTGCCCCGAGTTTCGGCTGCATGATGGGCTTCCGAGCTCGGTTAGTGAGTTCAGCACTTGAAGGGTTGGTAAATGGCGATCTCAGGCAGCCACTTCCGTTCGTTGGAGAAGCGGGTTGCCGGCCAACCGCAACCTGTCGTCATCTGGACACACTCGAACTTGCTTTTTGTCGCTATCTTAATTTGTATGCTGAGACTCGGAGACAGTTGCTTAGTGTAGTCGGTTGCTAGTTATCGTATAAGTTACATGTTCCGCAACGCTGTTACTTCTAGGTGACCGCTTCGGGGCATGTTTGCATTCCCTCGTTGCCTTACAGAGGTGCGTGTGCCCTTGAGTCTACGAGCAGGTGAATGCACCAGCATCTCTATTCGAGCATGTCATCGTCATTGCTGCTACTGCCGACGCTGCGAGTCTCAACCTTTATCGGTTCTATCAGTGCCCCTATCGTGAGGTTCCTTATTGCTATGACGGTTGATTAGTCATGATCAGTTCCATCTTGCCGTCAGAACTGGTGTTGCAAGTTATTTGGGGTTCTGAAGGCAAAATATTTCCATGCATGGAGACAAGATGTGGCTGAGACGGACAGGCCGGAAGCGGGACAGCCTCTATGCCAAATCCCATCAAACACTGTCACGAATCATTTGGCGAGAGCAATGAACCGCCACACGTATACAAACTGAGCTCTTGAGATTCACATTCATCGCTAAGCGCCCAAGCCCACACCGCAGAAACTCTGGCAATGTCATCCAAGGCCCGTTTTCAAGCAGGCAGTGCCGAGCAGGCACAGAGGCTCCGACGACGGAACTGAGGGTTTGCAAGCGATTGAAGTGTTTAAATGTTTGAGTATGCTCCTAAAGCCGTCTACTTGTCCGTAAAGTCTTGCGAGTCTTGGGCGACTGAAACACGCAGGCTTTGTCCAGATTTGGGCTAGGGGTTCAGGGCCCATGTTTCCCGACATACAGCTTTGTTGAAGCAGGGAGTTGAGTAATTAGTTGAATGTCCTTGCCAGACTTCGAGGAGGACTGTTGGTCCTGAAGTGCCCTCACAGGCTAGCGGCCTAGCGCACAGGATATACATAGTGCTCGCTTCGGTGGCTTCACAGTGCCGACGTACTTTAGGCACAGGTATGCCAGTATGGAGCTTGTATGACAAAGGGCCATGTTGTACTTTAGAGCTGAGTATTCAGGATGCAAGGATTTTTCGGTTTCTGACGTGCCGCAGGTCTGAGCCTCCAAATGGACCTGGTTCGTTTCTCCCTGGAGGTGGCTGGGTTAGTGGGCGTTGGGCATGGTTTTCGTGCAGAGTGTGGTGGATGTCACCCAGGATTCTAAGCCCCTCTGGAGATATCAAAGCGCAATCAAACTTGGATGTGATTTCAGCGTGTATGTGCACAACGAGGTTCCGTTCGAACTTAAAAAGACTTACACTCGTCGACTTGTTTCTTGACTCCCACTGGTTGCCTAGAGGAGGGCAGTGGGTAGAGCAGGACTGTATCATAGCAGGATGTTTGTAGGTAGTATAGGGGCCTTAACAATTACCAAGACTATTTTGGGGGCCCCTTATTATAAATATAGTATAGTATACCCCAAAGCCCGATTCTATTTCTAAAGGCCCCTGCGTTAGGATTTGTGATAAAGGGCTCACCGCGAGCCTGCCAAATCGAGACCCACCGAAAGTCTCGGATGATGAAGCTGAGATACAAAAAGACAAGAAGTAGCATTCCCCTCTTCCTCAATCGTAGACACCTTCACAAGCCCCCAATGCCAGACCCCAACCCTGAACTCAGCACCCTGATAGCTGTAAACTCTGAAGTGTTGGCACAAGGAGGAGTGGAGCGCCTAAGGCGGGGCAGCCAGAAGCTTCTTGCAGTGCGGAGTTATATCTGGAGTATGGGCTCAAGTGATATTGTGGTTCGGTCTTTGAAAAACTGCATGTGTCGTTCTTGTCAATGTGAGTTGAGTTTTGAACTTCCCTTTAGGTTCAGGAATAGGCATCTAAATTGAAGAAGCACCACCATCAGTAAGACATACGGTGCTATACCTACCGGTGTCATCCAACGGAACTCGCAAGTCGATTCATCTGCCAGTCTCTGGGTCTTTTTGTCTTTGTGTGCCGCATGGTTCTGACACCGGCTTCCATTGCATCCGATTTTTTGTGCCAATGCAAGGTAGTCTGTTGCTGCACTGTTGCTTCTGTAGACGTGAAGACTTCTCATGCTGTCTATGCCATTGAGATTTTGCAGGTGCTTCTGTTTGAGCATGCATTTTGTGGAGCTGTACTGTCACCCACGTCTTCTTTGCTTTTCTCAAGTGGCTTCCAGTGTTGTGCCACCAGTTTCGACTACTTGGCGAACTCTGTCGCATGTTTCTTTTGCATCGTCTACACTGTCTACACTCCTTTGTCCCGAAATCGTTGATATCGCCAACCTGTAGTAGTACTCGCACTGTACATGTATTCGACCATTGTCAATGCAGGTAGAAGCAGCAGATCCAGTTTCCAGCAGGGTCTCTGTGCCTGCTCCTTCATCTTTTCGAACGTAATGCCACGTATACATTCCGCTGCTGAGGAATTCATACATCAGGGAAAGCCATTTTCGGAAATGCTCCATCTCGGACAAACTCTGTGTGCTTTGAACATGTGCAGCGGTGACACTATATGTCGTTCTTGCCGGCCAACGTAGCATTGCTGTCCGGCGTCCGATCCCACCTAATGGTCCATGTTAGTTGTTGTTGACATGACTAGTGCTCCAGGCTTCCATGGTACGAGGCGTGGTTGCAAGTGCCAACTGACGGTGAAGAGGCTGGGGGTTTGAGGAATTCAGGCTTTGGAGTTCAGGATTTGACTCGCGAGGATAACAGCTCTATGAGAATGCTTTTCCAGAGTTTTGGTGTGACTTGAAGAGGGGTTCCGGACAGTGGAACACTTTGGAAATCTGAAGGCAGGTCTGTGCGGCATTGCTTGAACAGTTTTGCGCTAGATGCGCTCGGTGGTGTATGCTGTTTGCGTGGGCTTCGGCTAAGGAGTGCAAGGTTTTGTGCCCCACAGTTACACAGTCGCCGGTAGCCCGCCTATCTGTGGATGTCTAACAGCATGTTGTTTTCGAAGGGTCATACGCTTTTTGGCCTTGAGGCCCGGAATCATGGAAGCACGTGCTTGATCTTACAGCGGTGACCAGTTGTCACCTCTTCACATTTTTTTCTGTTTTTCTACTCGCCTCTAGGAGGGTCAGTTTGGATACATAGTTTTGCTAAGTTATACTCTTCAGCCAGCCTACCTATTACTCTCTGTCTGCAGCCTCCCAGCCCCCAGGGGAGGCGACGACTTTGTGTGCGTCTTCAGCTTCTGCTGTCGGTGAGGCCAGCATAGCATTCCCAGGGCAGCAGGCTGTCCTGCCAGAAGTGCGAATCCGGCTGCTATGACAGTCGAAGAAACTGCAGTCATGCGAGCCTCACAGGCTGGACGTGTTTTCTTTCGAGGCTCCACGAGCTTCGATAGCACGTTCTACAAAGCCTTGGCTCACTTGGGCAATCCACGCACAATCTTCTGCAACCTTCTCGTGTTGCGTCCTTTTCGAGTCCAATCAGCCTTTGTCAGATTGAAGATTACGGGGATATTGCAGGACATTACAAACTACACCCGCAATAAGAGAAACTCCTAAACCTCAAACATGCGGCAAATACCATGAGATATATCGTAGAACCTCAACCGGATGCTATAACGTCTTGAGCAAAACACGACTTCCCCTGACGAGCTCAAGTCGCTGGTGAAAAAGAGAGTCTGCTTGTTTCAGGGCTTAGGGTGCAATTTTGTGGTTTAGGGTTCAGGGTTTCGGGCACTGCTGCTTTATGGAAGCGTTTCCCCTGCAATGGTTGGGGCTTCAGGGCTTGTGGTACAACTACAGCACCGCAAGGCATCAGTCAGAATTTCAGAGCGCCCGCATCCTGGCAAAGCTTCATCCTCCGTCAGCTCGCGCCAGCACCCAATCCTCAGTCCAGCAAGTTTCTGCATCAACCTGACCGAAGCAAGTTCAACACCCCCAAGGTCAAGTTTACCTTGTTTGCTTCTAAGTACATCAGTCATCTACAGTATTCGCAGAGGATGCCGAAGTTTGCACCCGGCTCCACATAGAAGCCTCAGGAACTAGTTCACTCATGAGAGAAATGTATATGTAGACCTGCAGTGTAACAGACCCCGAGCCCAGCGTTGTCTTCCGATGTCTCGTGCTCGACACGACTTTTGGCGCTTTCGGCTTGCACACCAATTTTGGAGAATCTTCTTCATCGCGGCAGGCTTCACATGACACATATTTCACGTTTCTCGTAGTGCTCTGTATCTATCTTGCATGGATCTATCTATTGATCTATCTGTCCATCTGAAGCGTTTTCGGAACGGACTGTGTGAGATACCCTGAGTGTTTACCTTCGGAAGCCTTCACAGAATTCCAAGACCAATCCTGCATCCTATGCGCAGCCGCAACACTAGCCAACCCTACACTTCGATCGCAAACCATCCTCAAACGCTGACCGCTGAATCGTAGAAGGCCTTCAAGAGGCCGGAGCCAAGCCGAAATCCTTTTTTGCATGCACGCGAACGGTGACGCTTCATGGCCTCCGTTTGCTGCTGCTGCCGGTCTGCAGTACTTGTGATGTGTGGTTCTCTAGGGCTCAGAGGAGGCTGCAAGCTCTGTGTATGCCCTTATAAACCCGGGGACCTACACAAGCTAAGCTGCATTGAAAAGGCGTCCAGGATGATTCCGACACCATGAAAGCCGTAATGCAACTGATCCGTAAAGTGTA